GTGAAAGAATTACGACCTATCGCTGTATAAAATACAAAAATTTACAATCGGAGACATCGTGATGGCTGATATTGTGCATTGAAAAGAATTAATATCATTCAAATATCGACTTCTGAAATGTTAATATCTAACTGGCGATCACTCGATATTTATCGTCAGTATCGATCAAGATAAAAGAAACGGAACTCGCTGAAATACTTTGAGCTGAGAATTCTATATTGTACCGAAAATATAATTTCGAATAAAGGTAATACTAATAATAAGTGTATCTATTGTTGGATTGTTTGTGAAAAATGAACAGTACTCACTTATTCGGTGAACATAGGGTGTCATTTGCGATACCAGTCAATCGAAACATCGAATAATTTGGTGCCAAATGCAATAGATTTAGATCAAGCTCAAAGAGACAAACCATACGACTAAAGATGGACTATTTAATAACATCTCCAGCATGTAAAAAAGATATAAGTTCTCGGTTTTTTGACTAAGTACTATCAACATATATTGTCACCAGTAATAAATTAAATTTTTTATGTCAAACATGTGAGAGGTTTAGCGATATAATTTCACTTTCTCACCATTTTTGCGTGATAACAGTGTAAGCGTTGAATAACACTGACTATTTGGTCGAAAACTATCTAGACGTACAGAAGTATGAAACCATAATATGAAGATTACTGTTTTTATCAGAAAGAAAAAAATGAATTTGGGCAGATACTCTTTAGTGAATTAGTTTTTACTACACAGTTGCTTTATAGTAATTTATACACTTCTAGTTGCAAGTTCTTTTAATAGTTAGGTTGTATTTGTCTCAGTCGAGACACTACAGTACATTAAAGAACTGTTTCGTACAAGCATAAGGCTCCTCAACAATAGTCCTAACCGTTAAGCGTCCGATATGAGAAATAAAAGTCCTGAATTAGCTTCGGTGTATCATCGTTGTGTACTTCTGAATAGTTGAAAACTACAATGAAACAACTGTCCACTATCCCTTAGTTTTAATTAGTACTTCAACTGAGATTAATTTATAGACAACAAAACCTACAGATTGAAACTAATCTCCATAAAACCACTTGGATTATATTTAGGTTTCCACAGTTTCCATCACAGACTGGTCTTAGTTAAACAATCATTGATCTGCTAATTACTGTCCTATCTTTTACAGGTCATAATCCAAGGTCCTGATTATGTATCTATTGAAAATGGTAAATTATGAAGTGCTGTGATGTTTTGTTTCGAAAACATAATCAAATGAGTTAAGAGTCTAAGTAAACAAAAGTTATTTGTAACTACTCACTTGGTTTTATGGTATTGTGACTGACAGCGTAAGAACATAGGGATTTCCGTAGGCTGTTGATCATGCGATAAATGCACTGAAGGCATTAATGAAATAATTGCGACTATCATAGACAAGATACAATAGTAATGTTGCTTCATCAACATTAATAGATGATCTGTAGCGTTGATGAAACATATAACTTCATATTTCAGAATGATCGTTTCTACCAATATTAGATTAAATACACTAAGTTAACTTTTACGTGAACATTAGAAGTAATTCATTTATCAAGTACAATTTTACAGTATTCAACTTTGAGTAACACTGCAAATGTGATAGCCTATGATAAATACTTGATTACTGAAATTGAAGTAGATGGTTGGAAATTGAAACCTGGAACACATTTGCTAGAACTTGAGTCTCTTCATCACTATGTCTTTGCTCCAATTAAAAGTAAGTAGTCACTTATATAGGTTGTGAAAAACGACAAAAGTAGAAAAATCTAAAAATAATTTTTGACAACTGTCTACGTATTCATCAGTCCACATATATATAGCTGTGGTGTATGCTACTTATGTTTTTCAACATAAATAGTATGTAACGCCAATCAGAGTTAGAGAGAATAGAAAGGGAAGTAGAAAGGAATTGTGAACTAGAAGAACCATACAGAATGTGAAGGAAAAATGATGGAAATCAGCAAACGAAGTATTCGGTGTATGGTTCTCTTTAATTGTGTATAAAATAATCAATTGGTTGTCTTCACCTAGGCTCTCGTTCACTACACATATATCGACGAAGCACTGATTCCAACGTTCTGACCGGTATATATTCTCAATTCAAAATGTTGACAACACGAAATTAGTCATTTAATATTTTTCATGGACATATTTTGTTGACATTAAATTCACCATAGCAATACCAAATAAAGTATGATAAACATATGTATATACCATAGTTACATGGAATAAAAATATGGAGTCGAGTGAAGTTATGGACAATTGTGAATGTATCCACAAATATGTACATAATAGAATTAGATAATTATCAATTTAAGAGTTTAAATTCATTCAGTTTTCTTGGCTATAGTCAATTGAATAAGATGTTTTTACATTATGTTCAAGTAACTAGTATAGTTGATAATCGGTTAAATTGACATTCATATAGTTATTAAATAAGAACTTTCGTTTAAATTTGAACGGATAGTTTCACAAAAATTTGGGCGCCGAGTTAATGTGAGACATTAAAGAGGAAGAATGTATTTGTAAAATCTTAGCGAAAGAATTTGAAGTAAATACAATATTTCGCCTGGCAATCTGGTTCAAGCTTTTTCAAGGAAAATATAATCAAACAAAATTATCGAAAATAAATAGGTACATGGTTCTCTGGTTTACTGTATATACAAATACATTCTTCCTCTTCAATGTCTCATATAGTTATTGATGTATTGAAGTATTAGTTTTATTGTTAATATAGGGGGCTATATAAATAATTGTTTTTTGCAGCTGCACATCATGGACTGATTTTAGTTAGGGAAACATTGTGAATCAACCAGAATTGGATATATTATAATCTTGAGTAATGTAGACCTTGGAGTTCTGCTGCAAATATATGACTTCAATCACGTTAAAGATGAAAAATACATCATCAATAAAAAATGAATCAACTAAAGTTAGGAACGTATACTACTGGATCTCAACTTATTTTCCTGAAAAGTAATCATTCGCCTTGAGAAGTACAGTAAAGATCTTGATCAGGCTTGAAAATTTCTGGATTATACACCTATTAGAAAGCCTAAAACAAGATGAATCACGTACCTAATGGTTTATCTGATGATATCATCTATATGTGAAAGTCATTGTAATCAGAATAAAATCTTATTGTGTGTGTGTATGTGATAATCCGTGCTATTGCAGGACTAAAATGTGCAAAAATAACTCATATATGGTATCTACTTTTTATCCAACAGGCTTACAATAACCGTGTATGGACCGCCTACACGCACTTCAAGTTTTGTATAAATCTTTTCCAAATAACGACTTTTTTTCTAGGTGGTTTTGATTCTGAGTCAGTTTTTGTGATTATAACACAGCCATTTTATAACAGATTTGGATAGCCAGTATAATGGTATCAATAGTTCATGCATGTACAAAAAAGAATCGCTTAAAAAACAGATTGTATTTGTTGAAACCAAAACATGGAATTTTATACAAATAGAAACAGGGATTTATTTAAAGCCAAAAACATTGGTACAGAGGCATCATATATATATATACTGATAGTCCGAGTAAAATCTCAATCAGATGTTTACACAATTAACATTAAAATGATGAATTATTGCGTTAATCTTGAAAATAGCTACATACTTTCTTGTTAGTCAACACAATCAAGACCAACTTCCATCCGAAAATACTCATTATTAATTTATAGTTAACAATAATGAATGGTCTCATTTAGTAAATCCTACTATCTACATTCCCTAACTTGGTTAGAATGGAGCGAATATGAAAGAATACCTTTCGTAACTACTGCAAGGAATATAATCTGACATTTTAACTGTATCATTATTAGGTTATAATATTTCTATATTCTTCTTATTGCAATACTAAAGTGAACTCATTAACAACTGCTGTACTATTTTTATTACTTAATTATGACGAATGATTGAACATTTTCTTCCGTTCTCTTCAACTATCAGTGTGGTTATGCCTGTAATGTAATTTCATACCTATCTTGATATGCGATCAAGAAATTAATATTTGTTTTTGTATCAGTTAATTTATACGAGGCACATTGCTTCAAGAGTTTTTGTTGTCTTTTGTTATTGAACTGAAACATGGACCAGAAGAATAGCATAAATCCCGGACTAATGAGAGTTAGGATCATTCTAGGTTCCAAACCTTGTCATTCCATGCGTAAGAATTTAGGGGTGAACGAAAATAGTATATACTGATGTAAAGAAGATTAACAGGATTCTTATTAGTGAATTACTGTTTTAGATATTGACCAATTTGCAATCATAAAAATCTTCAAACAGAAATGGTGGAAAGATTTATTCTGTGAGATTCTGTTATTACCCTTCGTTAATGTTTATTGGTTTATAATAATGATATTAAACGAACTCATTCATCTGGTATAGAACACACCAGTTGTGAGGGGTAGTGATAGTAGGTGGAGCGAGGTTCGATGCTGAAAGTAGATCTTAACCACTAAGCCACTGCTCCGCATTTATTGTTCCAAGTACTATAGTTAATGACAGGCTGTTATCATCCAATCACTGATTTCGAAACATTGATTTGTTAAATATACCTCTAAACCCAGTATAAGGACGGAGGTTATTCATAACCCAACTTAGGATCTGATTACGTACTGTGATCATTCTTCTGATGACCTGTTCGTATGAATAATTTAAATCTATCATGAGCCAGTTTAAGTTCAAAACATTTCGTCACAATATGTTTGCTTAGTTGAGACATATTTGAATTTTTAAAACTACAAAATCTTTTCATGATTGCAGATAAACTCCTGCTGACATGTGAAGAAACAACATGAAACTGATGATGTTCATGAACATTAAAATGAATTATATTAAACGGAATTCAACTTCTAGATCCGATGTAATTTAGCTTACTATCTATTTTATATTCACCTGTTAATGAACTTGGTCATAGTATTGGTTGACATTCATTGATAATTCTATAATCAAAACAACTTGGTTTTTCTTATCATGTACTTTTATTTCAGAAGTACCAAAATATATTTTTCAAGAGAATATATTTACACAATCTGAAGTATTCTTTTTAAAAAAACAACTTTTGTCTAAGCATACTATTAGTTCGAATGTTTCTTTTTCATTGTGAAGATTTTAAATGACTAGTTATTTTCTTTGAACGATTTTTCGGTGGAGATTTCCAACCGTCTAACGATCGTGATACAATTTTAGACTTGGAAAAATTCGGTTTTTGATGATAACTATGCGATGATGCATCTGTTGTTAATATTGATGAAGTAGGTTGATGAGATCCAATCGTTTGAAGATTTTCATTCATCTCTTGACTATCCAAACGTTGATGATGATGTTGTTGTTGATCTGAAGGATTCAATGTATGCGTAGATAGAGCACCAACAGGAAGTGATTCTACTCGAACAAGTACACTTTCATCAGATGCTCCAGCATTTGCACTTAAATCCCAATACGAACCAAGATCATCAATTAAAATAGGATGTGCATGTATACAAAATATTCGATCATTTTGACGAGTACTTACTGGTGTCATCATGACATTTTCAACAGATGATGAGAATGGTGTATTATTATTTAATTCTGACTGAGGAAATCTTATACAAAATTCACAGTGAAAATAATCTCCTTTTAATTGTGCAGTCTTTTTTGTTGAAAATATACAATTTAATTTAGTGAATTGATTTGTTTTAATTGTTTCTGGACAAATCTCATTCACATTGATAATTATTTGTACAGCTGTAATACGACGTAATAATGTTTGTTTCGTTAATCGACTACGTTGTTGTACAACACCCATTACTTGAATCATATGACAAATATCATTACTAATAGTTAACACATCATCTGGATGACTACCAGCTTTTGGTAATAGTACAAGTCGTACCGTAGTAGTTTGTAAACGTTGAAAAAAGAATCTTGGCCAATGTGTAGCTAATTGAACAACTTTGAATATAATAATTGGTAACCATTCACGTATAGATGGTGTATTATTATTAGTATTTGGAAAATACTCTTTTATTAATGCCCTTAGTACAGGTACAATCTTACCATATGGATCAGATTCGTATGTATGAAATGAACTTGAATCATGCCTTGAAGAGAAATATTCTTCAATACAAGAAGATCTAAAGTGAATCGGGAAAAAAGGAGCCGGATATTATAGAGGCTATAAAGCAGAAGAATTTGTAAATTCAACTATGAATATGTACTTAGTATTTATGTAAAGAAGAAAAAAATCTTCGGATGTTGGGAAGACGACATGAGTTAATTAGTTGAAAGTGATCAAAAGGAAGTCCTGGACTTGGGCCTTTCTCAAAGTTAGGACTCATCACAACAAGGTGTGCCTGAAATTTTGCGAGCTGATGCTTCTCAAGAGATTTGAACTCGAGTCACTCATTATCTCACTCAGCAGTTATTACTAAGTGATTCAACTGATCTTTTATCAGAACTAGACAAAAATGACATTAGTTACTACTCACTGATCAGTAAAATATATAGAGAAATATTTTACAAATAAAAAGACTCTAGTTTCAATGTGCTAGTCATTCACCTGATAAGTCTAAAACATACTGACAACTATGCAATGTGAAGTAGGTCTAGATACATGGTTGTCAACCACAGTTATTATATGAAAATTACTATTTCTGTCTATATGAGGGCAAATAGATATAGACCGAATAATATTGTAGTCATGAATAAAAGTTAAATAGTTGAACTAATGAGAAAATACTATTGTGATGTATGCCACTTGTGTCTGTCTACAGTACATGAATATAATTTTTATACACTGATCTAATTCTCCAAGTTTTGCCTTAAGTATTAGAAACTTAATATTAACTAATAAACATCTTAAAATGATAGAAATTGTAAAGTAGCAACCATCGGACCCCGGCTTTAATCACTCAAAAAGCATTACGTTTGATACAAGATCCAAAAATCTTCCATTCGATCCCATGTAGGTTGTGGATGTGAACTGCTGCTAAAGAGTATCAAACTACGATGATGATCCTCTGGATTTTAGCAGATCTCCTGCTCAAGTCACTTCATGAGAAAACTTACTTACTCACGAGATAAATAGCGTTCATTCTGAACTGGAATAAAATTATCAGTTCATTAAATCAATATCTAAAGAGAATCAACTTTTTCATGAACTTGTTTAGACAAACTGTGTGCCTCTATAAGTAATTGAAAAAAAACAACACTGACGACAACAATAAAAACTCACTTTAATGAATAACTAGATCCATCAATTAAGCTAAGAAGTTCATTAAAAAATTCAACCAACTGTGTTATTCTATCATAACAGTGCTTTAAGGAACTAAGCTAAAAGAAAACTATGAACGAGGAAAAAATGAGCATTCCACCATGTTCAGATCTACAAATTCTAGACATTTATCCATTGAACCACTAGAAAAAATATATAGTACTGGACAGATATTTTGTTTTAGTTTGTAATTTCATAGTAGTGTGGACCAAACTACCGAAGAGAAAAAGGACATCAAGTCTCCAAGAAAGCATGTTACAAAAAACTATGTCAAGTGAAAATTCATATTTTCAACTTCAGTCAACTTTTTGTGATATATAGCAAGATGGTTAGGCAGCGTAATTAATAATATCTAATCTCACCACTGACATTAATCAGTCACTTATAAGCAATGTAGGACCCGGCACATGTGCTCACTGATTCAAGTCACCATACCATATCAACACGGAGAGATACAATTGTCAAAATAAATGTTTGGGTAGTATGATTAATAGAGGTATCAGTAGTGGTAGGAAATATTAAAGATAGATGATATGATTTATGAAGAAAGAATGAATTTGTAGAATAAAAAATGTGACATAATTTTAAGGGAAAACAAACACTGAATAGATTTGCATTACAGTAACCGATTTTCAATCATACCATCCCTCATCAAACTATCAACGTAGTTGAATTCGACTAGTCATGACTTTTAATTACATCATTGGGAATTCATCACAAAGTAGGATATCATCCGTGAACAATTCTATCTATCAGAATAGTTGATTTAATAGTCAACGAGATAATGGTAAAGTAAGATTTCATATTAATCAAAGGAATGTTCATCTAGGAGTGAAAAATTCACTTTAAAGGCATATCATAGTACAGATTACTGAAAAAATAAGAATTGCATCATAAATAATTTAAAAAATATAGTCTACTAAACAAATACAGATTTACGTATTTTGACATACATGTTCTTGGTGTGAGGGTTAGTGATACTAATCACTTGGTCTAAACCAAAAACAAATTAAAGGAGAATTCGAAGCTTCAATCTAATGGTTAAAATTTGAATGATTTGAAAACTTAAACTATTACTCTACTTGACAAATGTTAGTAGTAAACAAATATTATGTAAGAGACAGAGATTACTCATCAGTATTAGTAAACTCATTGTGAACGCTTACTATCACAGTTGACATCATGAGTCGATTTAAGAAAGTCGGACAAGTACCAAATAAGATGAAATTTGCTATGTGAGTTCTGTTGTTCAAAGTTAAAAAAATGTAATCTACAAATACGTTACAGGGAAAATTACTGATAATTATGTAAAGGATACGCTTCTAGATGTCTATGTGTTTGAAGATCAGCATCCAAACATTGTACACGAAGATTGGAAATTTCTTGTGATAAATTATTCCACGATTCAATACAACTTGAAAGCTGTACAAGTGAAAAAAACACAAGGAGAAACTATATTAAAATATAATTTGTCAGGTAACGTTTCCGGTTTTTGTAAGGATATTTACTGGAACCTAGGACATAAGTACTTCTGAAGGTAATTCATAAATATCTAACCCCTCTTTCTGCTATAAGTCAGTTATAGTTCTTTTAACCTTATAGAAAGAGGTTTAGTGTTACTCTCATGTCCAGATTATTGATAGATAATAGATGAAGACCACAGTGCAGTGCAATTCGAAATTAAATCATTTTGGGATATAGTGTGAAGATCATCTAATGTCACTAGTAGCAACTATTTACCCCGCCGATATTTCTAAACTCTACTAGTCACAACACCATTATTGAAAAATAATATTTAATGTCATAATATTTGTGTACATGAAGAAATACAACTGAACTAACAAGCCGGTAAGATCAACCCAACAGTGCAAAAATGAATGATAAACAGCCTACCCAGACTAAATTTGATGATGTATTCATATTTATATTATTACTATCATCATTATTATTATTAGTCGAAACATATTGAACAGTTTGGAATTGAGATGAATCATTTCGACATGATGGATTCATAAAAATTGAACCAGACCATTGTTTAATTCTTAATGCATGATATGCGGTAGAACAGAGATTTGATAAATTAATTAGCAATAAACTTCTTATTTGAATATACTTTGCTTGAAACCAACGTCCATCACTGCCTCCAACACACTAAAAATGTTAAGAAATAGGCGACAAAAAAACGTAACAATTATCATTAAATAAGCAGCCAACGTAAAACATTGCATAGATATGAGTTGGCAAAGTACTTTCCAATAATTCACTAGGTTATATCATGTAGTGTAATCTAGGAATTTTCATTGTTATTTTAAACAACTCCTAGTTGAGTTATTTTGTTGTTGCTGTCCAGAATGACAGTAAAAACTTAAAGATTAAAAAAAATCCAATCCAGCTCGAAGAAACCAATATCAATACTAGGTACATTAATACCATTAAAGTGGATCGAATAAGCAATTCAGAAGCCAAAAGCTGTTTATACTGTCACCAGAAAATTTGAAGTTGTAGAATCCTTTGGAAAATACTTTTAAAATATTGATAATTTACGTTTCCGATAAATTAAATTAAGAATTAATTAATGTGTATATAAGTTTGGAATTTACTGGCAAATTACTTTGAATGATAATTGTCCAGACTTATTTGCGAGTAACAATCGTTATCTCACTTGTATTGGTTGTTCGGAACTTCTCATTAATGTCTAGCACTGGAATGGTTCAGTATGTTGACAGTACATCCACTTGACGCGTCTCAAATAGTACGAAACGCACGTTTTAGATTCCATCGCTAGCTGACACCCATTTCTGTGATTATTCATTATTATTTCTTCAACAATTACTGTTAAATTCGCAATAACTAGTTAGTCGATCAAATGATACGCGTGTAAAGGGTTTTTTTATTCGAAAAGTGAGCACTTGACAGTAAAAAAAACACCAAAATTCATACCATGATGGTAGTTTGTAATTTACAAGCTTCTTCTGATGCAGTTCTTAAACCCAGAATTAATTTAGCAATCCAGGACTTTTTTGTGAATACTGTAGGTTGTGTTGATTGATCAATCGGTATATTGGATGTTGACATTGTTTGTTGTACATCTGTTTCCAAGTTTCTAGTTAAATTGGTCAATTTGAATTCCATTTGACTGAATTCTGATAGAGCAGTTAACCAAAAGTATGATTTTTCTGTTATAGCCTATATGAAAAAAAAATTCAAGAGGAATAAAATGTATGCAAACTCCACAAAAAACATTTAAAATAAGAAAAGATTTAGTCAGTGATTGACTTATTTACACGTTTATACAACTATGAAGCCACGAAACTCATATTTTATAAGAGCAAGAACAAAGATTCTAGCAGAATAGCATGAATTCATTTTATTTCGTAGGTTCTCATCAGCTGCTTACAACCTGTGATATTTAAAAATCATAATTACATAATTGGTTTAAATTGCTAACTGAATATTGTAAATATATACCTAATGTGAAAGAATATTCTACAACATTAATTGTGACAACAGTTCAAAAGTGGGTTAGAAACAATTGATTACATAATGAATAAACATTGATAGGAATACAGTGAGTAGAGTTCAGTTGAAAGATTATTAATTTGAAAGATAGTTGGAAAAATAAAATAGTCAATGATGTAATAAATATAAAAGAAAAAAGAAAAAAATTCTTTTGTGGTGCAGTGAAGGAATATTTGTCATCAGAGCAAGGAAAGATTAATCACCGTCTCCTTTTGAATACATAGGTCAGGTTTCTGACGCCTGATGGCAATGGCTTCAGCAAACTTCAGAAGACTGGAGTTTGGCTGCTTACTAATCACCCTAAAGGATTGTAAGGTATCTGATGTCCTGTATCAAGGAGATGTTTGATGATTGCACTGTTCAGAGTCTTTCTTTCTCTTGTTCTAAGACTTTTTGGAACATGTTCAAAGAATCTAAGATATGCTCTCCTTTCAGTTCAGCTGATGTAGCTGCTTTGGCAGGTACACGTAAATTTATAAATACAATTGGCCGTAACCTGAAAGGGTTGCTTGTCGATCTTTGATTGGGTTATTGAACATGTTGTTTTATAGAGAATTAAAAGTTTAGCAGCCGGATAAGTTCTGGCTAGCGCTGTGTTCAGTCTCTTGTTGATAATTTGTGCGACGTCATCACCTTTAAAGTTAAGATTTATATATACTGGCTTTTTATTGACCATAGTTATTACCGTCTTCTTTTCCTTGGGCCTTTTATATCTGTCAATAAACTTTTGTGGATAAAAGTTTTCTTTTAGAAATTTTTCTACGTTCATTAATTCTTCTTCCAGTTTGTCGGTGGTACATATCTTTTCTGCCCTGTAAAATAGTGTTCTAACCAACGCCTTCTTGTAACTAATTGGACAAAAACTATTGAAATTCAGGTAGAGGTCATTCCAGTTACTTTTTCTATAAATTGATCGTTGGACTGTCCCGTCTCCCCTGCGTTTTATGGCAACATCAAGAAAGTGGAACATGTCGTTCTGTTCGTGCTCCATAGTAAAATGTATGTTAGGATGAGCATTATTGAAGAGTTTGAGCAGGCGGTTGCATGTTGTTTATTATTACAGTTAATAAATGTGTCGTCCACATATCTGGAGTATTCCGTTGTTTCGCTAATTGCCTGTATAGGTATCGTGTTTTCAAGATACCCCATAAAAATATGGATATATATATCATATATATAGTGGACTACCGATTGCTACGCCATCGACTTGGCGATATATGGTGTTGTTAAATTGGAATTGAACATCTGTTGTACATATTAGTAGTAGTTTTTTGAATTCTGGGGCTGGTAAAGGTAGGAGATCATCATTCTGACAAATTATATCAATAGTTTCAAAAAGTGGTATATTGGTGAACAAGGAAGTTACATCAAGAGACCATGAACTTGTCGTTAACATTCGTACGATTTAGTCTATCAGCAAACTGGAATGAATCTCTTAACTTATATGTTGCAAATCTACGACGAACGGGTTCTAGTTTTTCTGCTAACCAGCGTGCGACTTTATGATATGGTGAGTTGATCATTGATAGGATAGGTCTAAGAGGAACGTCATGTTTGTGAACTTTTGGTAAACCATACATATGAGGTAGACGTGAACCACGTGGTTTTAGATCGTTGTAAGTAGAATTATCAATCATTTTCTTTTTTAGGAGTTCTCTAAACATAAAATGATTGATGGTTGTGACAAAGTATAGTTGCCCCATTCACGTTCATAACCCTTTATGTCGAAATTATAGTTCATTCTGTTTTCTTGCTACTTCATCTCTTTCAACTCTGTTAGATTATTATAGGCGTGCACAAAGATCAAAGACGTTATTCACTTTATAATGGTTAATAGTAAAGTTGAAAACGCGCATTTCGTCCCATTTGGGATTCGTCAGATGGATCCCAATGGTAATGTTTACACTGATACTCGAGCACAATACCTTTAGCCTTAAGCACCCAATGCGCTTAACACTGAATATATAGAAATTAGCTTGTGGGACGAGTATGAATTTTATTTTACATGTAATGGTTTGTATTCTTATTTAAAAACAACACAACGGGAATATATAAACCTATGCAAGTAAAATTTATCCACCTGATTTTCGTTTATTTTTATACGAAATTAAAATTTTCTTTGTATCCAACAATGTCTTACATCAATCATGGGTTGTTTATAGTAAACGAGTAGCTGGTTTGACTTCAGAATAGGATGAAAGTAAAATGTGATAACAATAGAAATTTTAGTTATACTTCAACATATATTATCACTAAAGGAAGCTTCAAAAATATCCGTAATAATAATAATAATAATAACAATAATAATAATAATAATGTAAATAACGAATGGATTTACCAAAGAGGATAATTTTTCGTAAAGTTTACCGGCAAATTCATGCTGACCATATCGATTACCCTGTCTTGCTAACTGATAAACAATCCATGGTGATAAACGATAACCTGATGACCCAATACTACCAGTACTAGTATTACTACCGCTATTACTGATCTTTTCACCTAAACATTTTGCTACAGAATGCATCAATATTGTTTGTTCTCTCTGTGTTAACGGTGAACCACCAGTTAATTGAAATACTAAACCAACAGTGGCAAGCACAGAAGTTACACAATCTTGTGTAGAAGTGGATGATGATAAACCATTCTCATGAATAGAATTGGTCAGTTTTGACAAAACATTTGAATAATTAAGTTGAATAGATTTCATGTCGCTATCAACTGTTGTTATTGAAGGATTAAGAAATAGGAATTGTGACAGTTTAGCATGCATTGTACACAAGAATTGACATAATAAACCAGTAGAAATTGCTCCATCTAGAATAGAATTATAAACGTTATATTTAGAATAGGATTGTATAATTTACTATAAATTATGAAAAATTTATATCTTCCAGTTATTGGTATGAAGGTTTGAATTGACCGGTTCGACTAGACAAGTTTATGAAAACAAATAAGAGAATTATAGGTTGTTTGACAATTGACGACAATAATACTCTTGATTGATTAAAATCGAAATGATTAGAAAACGAGGTTGTAACTAGTAACATGTTATTTACATATACAAGATCCACCTAGAGGAGTTGTAAATTCAGAACCTAAGCCAATGGTACACATGAGATCCTGAGGGGAAAAATAGCATATGGACCTATTGTTGGTCATCGGTTACCATGGAACTGCATCTCCTAACGTTGCTCTACTGCCTTATAGATTAGACCTCCAGGTCAAGGGCTCGGGGGTGGTCCCCTTAGAAAACCACCCGCTTCGGTTTGGGTTCCCAGGTAGTATTTCAGCCTTCACACAAATCGGGTAACGAAGCGTGACGCATATATTTTTCGCTCATTCTTGTACCAAGGTTTATGTGTTTAAATAAAAAGGTGATTATTTTCCTTAGAAGATTTTATATCATAGGAATATTAGATAATAATTACTAAATGTAACTGTAGTTACCGTAAATATACATGATTAATTAACCTACAATTAGAATGGGAAAATGGGTGACGGAGGAAGGGAACATAGTTCAGTAAGATTATTCGAATTCTATGGCAGTATGAATCAGAATCTTGGAGTAAAATAATTTCTAACTTATCGATGAACACTAAAGTATTAACTTCTAATTTTACCACTTCCTAACAACAACAAAAAGTTTAAACAATTTGATAGTAACGAAATGTGATCATGATGGACGGTAAAAATCAGCTGTCATTGTTGGGAACTAAAATATACAATAATCGTACATTTAATTTGATGGGATTTACACAAGTTTCCATAATCGGTGTTTATTAACCTATAAACTTTGATAATTGATTTTGAGCGTCACATCATTAAGTCTGTTATGAATTAATGAATATAGTTAGCACATAACTTACTTTCTTATAAGTTAAAGTAAACAGTTTGGTAAAATTTTATTCCAACCTTTCAAGATCATTTAAACGCTTAGTGAGAATGTAATTAGTACTACTCAAAGAATTTATTAAATGAATATTTGAGTATATACAAGAAGAATGTCTACAAATATATAAATTGATGAATAACTTACCAAGTTTTATACCTTCAAGAAAGTTCATCTTATGCAACTGAGATGCATAAGATGGAAATGTACTGAAGAATTCGACAAGTAGGTTATAAATACGCTGAAAAAGATAAGAAATGAAAACACATTACATTAGACTAAACCATTACTTAAAAGTAATTTTGTTGACGGCGACAAATGAACAAGTGCATACACATTCGATAGACTAATTCTTGATGGATATACAAAAAAGGCAGAGATATTTACAAAACTTCATTAGAAACCATAAAATTAATTAAATATTTATTAAAGTTGGATAATGGCTAGCAATCGGATCTAGGATGTGCATTTCTTCCTATCCACGACTCGTCAGCTAAATGTATTTGGATCGCAGTATTAATATTCACATTGGGACTTGAACCCAATGATAAAATACATGTTCTGGACTCCCGTGCTGTCTACTATTTAACTTAAAGAAAATGACTTGTGAGTAAGTGGCAATAACAAAACAATCAGCTGAGATGTAAATACACCATAGAAACTAATAAGTTGCAAGATTCATTAAATATTTAGTTATACTGAAATAAACCAGTTACCTAAAATAATGAAATGTTAAGGTTCGTTAACAAATATAATATATATTTGGCGTATTGCATACATCACAAGAGATTTTAGTGAAACAGTGATAACTTAAGATTTGGCATACATTTATGTTAGCCAAAATCATAATATTGAGATCACGAATCGAAGATTTGAAAAAGCAAATAAATTGAGGTGATAATCATATCAGCAGACAAATGAACACACTGTGATGATTGTATAACAGATACAATCGGAAAAGTAATGTATCTCCCGGATTTAAATCTTAATGACTGAGAGCATAGTGAAAGGTTAGATTTAAACATTCTGATTAGTTCATTCTTAACCAGTCAGAGCTAGTAAAGGAATCGAAAAGATACTAAGAGTTTCTCATGTAAATTCTATGCAAATGTTATTGTCTACACTACTGTACCATCAATCACTCCAGTCCTTCAGAATATATTATCTTGTTTCCATCTCATTCTTCGTCCGGATTTGCGAAGTCCAGAGACCAAGGAATATTAAAAAACAGTATAGTAATTGATTTTTAGAAATACACAATTATTATATTTTAAATTTACACAGTTATATTTGTACTAATGGAACTAGAAACCAATAATCAAAATCAGGTACAAGGAAAAGAGGGCAATCAGTTTAATAAAACCGAACGTACGCTTATTAGATTTAAAAAATCCAGCAAGGTAATTTGTAAAGTAAAATAATAGTTACTTATAAGTAATACAGTTAAACTGTGTAAATTCCGCGATTCCGGAGTAACTCAGGATGGTACTATAATACATGGATGACGTTTGAGAGATGTCAAAATGACCTTGAGAAAGTTCACCTACCTATTAGTCTAAAGAGGGTTATGAAATGGTTTGAGGAATCAGAATCGGAATTTCGAGTTAGAAGTTAGGATAAGGAATTAGAGCTGGGGTTTTCATAATCTCGAATTAACGTCAATCATAATGCTATTTAGCCATATGGATGGATGTACTTCACAACAAAATCCAAGACTTGTTATCTTAAATCTGATGGGTTTGTCCAGAAATTATAGTCTCATGCTTATTAAATACACAATGCAATGTTATTCACTGCAACTAGTTTATTTGAGAGTAAGTATAGACATTTTTCTTCATAATCATCATCTTAACTCGTAACAGCATGCCTTATAGACTTGGGTTAAGTATAGAAAATACTAACTATAAATAAATCTCAGGTATATCATAAGTTAAAATTATAATGAATTAAATATAAATGAATCCTTTCAACTTTCTGGTCAAGAATACATTTGAACAAAGTAAAAATAACAAGATCTACAGCATAAAATAAATTCATTTGAAGCATGTTGTAATGGCCGAATAAAGTGAGCTCTTTCCAGATACATATCTGAACATTAATCAATAGGGTTATTAAAAGGTGAATTAAAAACTATTTCATAGTTCTATTGTTGAACATTTGCTGAATTCTAACCATCTATTTCAATGAGAATTTTCATTCAAAATTACCAATAAGTTCAAACACACTGGCTCCAAAAGAAACTGAATCAGGAACATGTGAACATCTGAGGTACTGTCAAACCATCAATTCACTCTTGGTTTCTGTGGTTAGAAGCAACAGGCATAGTTTTTTATGCTACCACAGTCTCAACACTCTTCCGATTTTATAAGTTGGTTTAACATATGTTTATCTCTTTTTAATATTCTTTATATTCATTAAGTGGATAATTAGTTTGCATACCCCTTATTTAAATGTTATTTACATTTTATCTGTCTACTATTACCTTTCAATTACTACGCAACTTATATTCGATAATTGAAAATACTTTTGATCACATGATAAGGTTGAAAAGAAATATTTTATTCACCGAACCGTCTTTATTTTGTTTAATGTAATGCATTCTATTTCAGTAGAACTGTGCGAAATGGAAAAAACAAATTATTAAAGATAAGGCTTACACTATGAAAGCCTTAATGAATAAAGCATTTTGTTGTCTTAATTAGTGAGTGGGCCAGTAATACTTATAACTAACTGCTTAAATCGAAACAGGAAGAGTAGTGTAAGAACTTACAACCACCTTTTTTGAAAGCCGATTACATTTAACCAGTAGGCAACTGGCTTTATCAATCATTGGTACAGTGTCAACGACTGGTATAGTAGAACAAAATCCTGGGTCTACAATTGAGTGGAACCAGTAAATCTTAAGCTAGTATGTGTATATATACCATAAATTTTAACAGAACTGAATTAAATCCTATTTACCTTTAAATCGTCGACTGGAACTTGACTATCGTACAGATACCATAGTGCTTTTCGTTTGCTTATGATTCCTTCTGCTTCTTCGTTAATAGGATTATTAAAATGATGGAAAAAGAGTTGAATTAATTGTCCTGGTTTAAACTCAAATCCAATATTATCATCATCTATACAAATTTCACAATTTTCGTCGTCAGTGTACTTTAATTGATCACTTTCACCTTTTAATATCGTCAGTTTACAAGCTAATTGAATTGCATGAACCAGAAGATAAGCTGATGATGAATCTTTTAGCGCACTTTTGATACAATCAACAGGAGTATAATCTGAAATTAAGTGGTTAATATCAAAAATAATTTCATATACACAATATATATAATATTATGATGAACATCTATAGCTGGTTTCAAAAATCTTGATCCCTTGATAAATTTAAATAAAGTGAAAACAATATATCCAGGATAAAATGGAATCATTATTTTAAGTGTGATTACATTTAATGGACACTGGACACAAAGTTTATGTCTCAAAAGCATTCAAAATAATTAATACACAACGTAGACCACTTTTACTCCGTTTTGCAATGTTGCTTCAAGATTGGGTTGCATCGACACCCGAAATAATGATAGAAGTGAAGTAGTTGAGTGTGTCGACCGCTTCACTTATCTTGGAAGTCTCATCAGCCCTTGTGGTCTGGTGTGTGACGAAATCTCAGCACAGATACAGAAGGCTCGACTAGCTTTTGCCAACTCCCGTCATTTATGACGTAGGCGAAATATCCGTCTATCAAGCAAAGGACGCGTTTAGTGCGCAGCAGTTCGTTCCGTCCTATTTTATGGCAGTGAAACATGGCCGGTAAGAGTAAAGGATATTCGTAGGTTACTGGTATTCCATCATAAGTGCCTTCGAAGCATTGCTCGTATATCCTGGGACCATCAAGTAAGTAATTCAGTTGTTAGGAAACGGGTACTAGGTAAGGATGGCAGATCGATTGATGAAGTAGTGAAACTTCATCAGTTGAGATGGCTGGGACATGTGTTACGAATGCTCAACCACCAACTGCCTCGACGTGCGATGTTTTCTGGTGTAGGAGTAGGTTGGAAGAAAGCTAGAAGCGACCGGACCAAAACATGGCACAAGTTCATGAAGTCACTGACAAGTGGACTGAGTCATGTTTGTAGGTGTAGACTACGTGGTTGGGGACCGCGAGACGATAGCAGCCGATGGTCAGAGACCTTGAATGACATGGCTCAAAATCGTTTGCAATGGCGCAGGTGCATCTACTCTTTATGTTCTCCCAAATTCTAATCTCCTGAACCCTCCTTGTCTCTTTTTTTCTCTTCACAAATTTATTTCACTGTATTATACTCTTTAAATAACGTCTCCAAACCCTAATCTTTCCGATTACTGCTTATAATCTTACTTGAATAATCTGAGAAGAAAAGTCATACTCTAAATTTATTGTTTATCATTGAATATTTCGATCCTTCTGAAACGCATAACTTCGCACAAACGTAAAAATTTTTGACCACATACTCAATCAAACTTTTATGTAGTTGTAGTCGACATGAGAGGATATATTATGCTCGCTGAGGATTGTTACAATTTCATTTTTTATTTTACAATGAGAAATATATTTGAATTAATTACAAAAAAACTAACCACATTATCACACTACTTATTGATAATAAGTAGAATAACTAGTTATATTAGCAATAATAACATACAGTTTGAGTCGATTTGAGAAAAACTAGTGATTGTTATTCAAATGAAACATTGGAAAAAAGATCGAGTTCACCTAAATCATTTTGACCTACATAAGAAAATACATCAAAGAAGCAACATAACACAAAAACATGGCAGAAAAACTGATCTTACGTGAGAGTGAATTAGATTCTTTTCCAGATGGTAATGTGAGAAATTCAACAGAATGAAATGATGTAGTAAGGCAATAAAAGATTTGTAAAACTAACGCTTTATCCATTTTGCTACAGTTTTCGCCATGGTAAAGGGAACTCAACTCCTGGAAGAAGAATTAGACAGTAATAACACCAAAATTGTAAAGAAATTATTCAGAAGGTAGATAGTTTTAAGCTAGCACTATATGGAATAATAGTCATCGACTAAGTTTTGCAAAAGGAAAACTACTAGATTTAAACGTAAATACTGAACTAAAGCAAATTTATCGACTACGTGCAACTTGGGCTGTAGGTCTTTCTGAGAAAGAAACTAAAAAGATAGAAGCATTAGTTGCTCCCTCGTTTTTTAATAGTTCTTCAACCAATCTCAGTAATAATAAGATTTGTCTTTTAACTAATCAATCGTAAATGATTCAGAAATCTGAAGTTCATAAAAGTATTCATCAACTTACAGATAAAATCTTCAATACCTATAAGCTTTCTAACATGGGGACATTAAAGTCTGATCAAGTTATTTCATTTCAAGGAATCCTGAATCTAATCACACAGTTCATAGTATCCATCAAAACAAAAGTGTCAATAAAGTTAACAGGGGATAGTAGTGTTAAGTAACTGTATATTATACCTATCAAGTAATGATAACCTGAAACAAGGGTAATCAATGAAAATTTAGTGCAGATTCTTTGTGGTTATTCATTTTTAGGAGTTGATTAAATGTTTCATCAATTTATGTTACAGTGATCAAATCCCTAACGTGTTTTAAGCCATAATGTCACTAAAATAAAACGAAATAAAGTTGATCAGTGGGATGTGAAGCAAAATTAGTATATTCTTAAGAATTTACATTTAATCGAGATAATTTTTTTGAGAAATAGAAACCACATATAGATTAGTACTCGTTATGAGTGATAATTAAATCGAAGGTAACCATGTAGTCGTAAAAAATTGTCGAACATAGCCCAATTAGATGAAGCAATGAAAATGAGAAGGAAAATAAACGATAGTAATAAAATAACACTAATAGTACTTGAGTAATTAAAAATCAAGGAAGAAAACCTGAGAACGAACGAAATCCATCGATTAAAAACATGCTATAGATTTTATGGGACACAAAGAATGAATGTATCTGCCCTACTATCATCGATTTTGAAACATGTCTTACTATTTTGCTAATTATAAAGAAGACAACAGCAATTTACATTACATCCAAAAGTGAAAATTGATTTTGATGTAATGTGGTGGAATAGGGGTTTGGATCTCAATTAAAAAGTATAACATTCTATCATTTAATGTAGTAAACGGATTGGTGATCAATAAAATAATTTTGTAAGACAATGGAGCCTACGTATTTAATTGGTCTCTATAGAAAGAAAAGACGAATAAGTGTCATCTATGTGCTGAGGTATAACACGAGAAAACGACTACTCCTTACCGTGAGATGGATAGCAACATCAGTAAACTTGTCAGAAAATTTAAAATTCTAAAAGGTATATTTAGAAATTTTGCCAGCAGCTTCTCCTGTGCTGAAGAAAGTGTAAATATGCAGAATTAAACATTTTATCAGGCATCGTACTCGGTGAATTTTTTTGCTCGATAGTGAAAGTCGCCGCAGATGTTAACAATTATAAGTTAATTATTTTTAAAAAAATCTTCAATAAGTTACATCATAACTCACAAGGATATGGGATTTCTCGAAGTGATGTGACACATTTTCAGCTAGAGTTAAGAGATTCCAAAGGACACTTTGACGAAGTTGAGGTCTTTGCTCTATAGATAATCGTTTGATAAGAAGGTTGATCTATGGATTTAAAAAGTATCTGAAGATCAATTCAAGGGTTAATATTTTAATATTCTAGATAAATTTGACAAGAAAGATGTGAAAAACTAGCCTTAGGGGGTTTAAAAAATTGAAATAGTCCTCTTCAGTGATAACTTTAGAGGACTGTATATCAGGATAATGATCTTAGTATATTGTACTTCCATAGGTCCTCGAATAAAAACAGTAAGACTTTAAAATGTTGCTGTGAGCTAAATAATTCTTTACAATGCTTCGAAAAAAAGGAAATTATCAATAGCCTGTTGATTTGTTTACTGAGATATAAGAAAATATCGACGTAAATACTAGCTAGTTTGGAATTTAAATGGATTACTTAGTGGTTAAATCTCAAGATCCAAACTACTGAGCTATACATAATTTAAGTCATAATGAACACTAGATTCATTGAACACATGCCTATACGGCTGGCTCATTAACTAAGATATACCTTATAGCAGTTTACGTGCAATTGAGTTTGTTCACATTTGACTTTGTTAAGCCCTTTTGTTAAGTTATTTAACGGAGAGTCATTCGTACAATAACAACTTATCTATACCATTGCATCCTTATTACTGTTGCACTTGTATGAATATATATACTGGAGCATTGCTTACTGACTACGCATATATTCATCCTGCTAGCCTTACCACTAGTCGCTTAGTTGATATATATATATATATATATATATATATATATATATATATATATATATATATATATATATAATTTCGGTTATCTGTGAGTGGTGCATTAATAAACTTAATCAACACTTCTTATTCGCCTTCTGATTAATACACCGTTGGTGGGGGATATCTATTGACGGTTATCAGGACGAATTGTAATACGAAGGTTAAGGATTATATTGAATACCGACCACCGCAACCTTTTTGTATTAAAAACAACAAACATAAAATCCTTCCCTACAGTCAAAACGACTAAGTTTAAAGCCTTTTGCTACATTTCAATGTTACATAAATACAATATGACCATCTAAATAATTCTTTCTACTTTGTTGTTCCAAATTACTTTTTTTGAGCAATATAGACTTACTAATCGAATTTAAAGGGCTTTTAGAACGAAACAACATGCAGACATGAAATTTTTATACTTCTTAAAATCTACTTAGTTAACTTTACTCATATTTCAAATTAAAGTCCATCGGCAAAAGTCACTAGTTTTGTTGAGTTTAGATGAACACAACAGTATTGAAACTTTAAAATGATAATGAATCATGATACTAACTTCCTTGATGCACATCAAAGAGAATTTTTAATCAGTGGGTTAAGTGCAAAGCTCGTTTTGACTGATATGGATGAAGTGAGTCATTGATTTTCCAGGACCTACAGAAAATATGTTTAATGCTCCAATAGATACAAAATCTACATGAGATTTCTATTATACAACATCTGTTACGCAACAAGTAACTCATGGATCTAAAAATTCATAGATTAGATTACCCAGAGTTACCCTGCGATAGCGTCTTAAACATAACAGTCAAACTATCATTTAGTGCCTTACTTATTACAGGGGCGCATAACAGTAAATTATATACAAATTGATAATAAACTACTACTTATATCTTCTCGACCAACGTCAATATTCATACTTACTGTTTACAATTAGTTTTAGATGCACAGTCTACTAAGATAAACCATTACACATTTTTATTTCGACAAGCGTGAATTACTGAAGCATTCAATAAACCAGAAATTAAGACCATGTTACCATCCTTTATCATTTGAAACTCGCATAGTCTTTCGTAATAAATACTGTTTGGTATTCATAGAGTAGAGTGGGAGAGACTACTGACAAATCTTTTTCAAGGTTCTAACTAGATCCCCCTAAGTAAATAAAACACAGATGACTAATGGTATCGAAATAATAAGTGAATACTTTAACTAACTAACATTTGTTGTGAGACATTAGAGAGGAAGAACGTATCTGTAAAATCTCAGCGAAAGAATTTGAAGTAAATTCATCGTTTCGCCTGGCAATCTGGTCCAAGCTTTTTCAAGGAAAATGTTGATATTTACTTCAAATTCTTCCACTGAAATTTTACAAACACATTCTTCTACTTTAATGTCTCACATTAACTCGACGCCCAAATATTGTGAAACTGTTCGTTCAAATTTGGACGAAAGTTCTTATTCAACATTTGTTGTTCCTAATTTAGTAGAAACACAGGTGATTTGGAAATTAATGGATGATATCAACGAAACTTCACAAGTTAACACAGCTTGAGTGAGGTTAGACGGACTGTTACTCTCTAAACACCGCAAACACAGCTAAATATGCTATTTTCTTTTGGTGAACTTTACTATTTCGTTCTGATGAGTGCGGAAAGGACAATCAAGACAGCGATTTCGATAAACTAAAAACGTGGGATTATAAGTCGACAAAAGTCTTACAGACTAAAGGTGATGTACGATTTTTGGTAATGTCCCGCATCTTAAACTTGGTAAGCACTGAACAAGATCAATGATAAGAGTGATTTCTAAAACAAAAAAAAACAATTCATGGTAATGAACATTTGTTTTGATATTCTGAGACAGTTTATATTTTAGGCCATGAAAAACTGACCTGAACATGGACATGCAAAGGAGCACGGGTTTCTAAAACTGTAAGAGTATCTAAAATCCCAGTAACGAAATCTGTGGTATTGTAAGTTTCAAGCATTGCTGTCAAGCAGTGACGTATCTGAGGTAGCGATTAACTGTGAATCCGAACAAACCTCTTCTGCGACAACAGAATTATGATGCATATGTTTTCCTAGATACAGTAACTTAAGCTTGGTATCCATATCTACCGACAAGTTATTTAGTATTTTACATAATATAGGACAAAGACTTGCAGCAAAGACACTAAAATAAAGGTTACAACGACATAGTAGAAGGTACCTGGATATAGGTGCAACTGTATGACAGGCCCAAACAGCAGCATCTGACTCAACTTCATAATGAGACTCTATCTGTTTCAATATGGCATGATGAACCCCAAGATGGTCCCGAGTTATCTCATTTAAAATCCCAAAGAGACTATACAGCCTACATAAGGTTAATCCCAACTTACCGTAAAGTAAGAGCTCGAACAGTGGGGTCATTACTTTCCGTAAAGGGTAGCAATTTACGGATGATATCCTCACAGACTGTAAGCTTTTTGAAGTGAGTTCTACACTCGGTACATGCACGCAAAATGCAGAGACGAAGGTAATTGTTTCTGAGAGTAAGTGTATTTAAAAATTCGCCTACCCATCGCAGAATATCTGAGTGATTTTTAATAGTATAGAGTTTATAACAACAGGGAAAGGATATTTTTCAAGAACGGAAGGAAACTGTGCAATTGTTTTGCATTGAATCCCAAGATTTGTCGACTGGAAACCTAGGAATATATGTAATACTCAGACGTAATAAAAACCTTTGTTTAGCTCCATTATTAAAACGTTAGCATCTTTCCCTAAGTCGCTTTCACTCGGACCTTGACTGTTGAAGGTCATTCTCGGCAACTATAATGAGCGCTTCCAAAAACGTGTGTTACAGATGTATTGAAAGTTGTGATGTCATCGAAGGAGGTGGACATTGAAAGTTGTTCAGTTTAAATTTAAGTCAACTTATGAAATGAGCGTTTTAGCGTCTACTTTGACATAGGAACCTTTAAATACAAACTTCTAGGTTCTCTAAATTATATACTTTATGTAAATGATCTCCCAAGTATAGTAGAGTCCCCAATATTATTGTAGGCTAACGATGTATAAACCTGACAAGAAAGACGGAGATACTTGCGCACTCCACATAGTTTTAAATATTTTGATTAACTGGTCTAAAGACTGGCTGACGCCTATCAACGTGTCGAAGTGTGTCTACATGCACTTTGGGTACAAAAGTAAATAGGCACAACATAGAGGAAGTGCCTGGACCCGTGGTCTAGTCTCGCAAAGATCTTGGTGTGACAATGCATCATGCTCTTAAATCCACCGCTCACTACCGGGAGGTCGTAGCTAAAGGGTTTAGAACCCAAGTCAAATAAAAACATGTTCACTACAGTATACACAACCTTAGTGAGAACTAAGCTTGAGAACTGCGTTCAGGCCTCAAGCACATTTTTAAAAAGTGAGTCTTATGTCCTGGATAAAGTACAGAGGGCAGCTACCCATGCAATTCCAGAACTCTGGGGTTTACCATACAAAGAGCGGTTTGAAAAGCTAGACCACTTTACTCTGTCCTATAGCAGATCAATCCTTGGAATCTGTAACCTTAAGCAGTGGTGTTCGCACATTCAATTGGCTCACACAAGAGAAGAATGGACAATTGTAGTGTCGGTTATTATGTCAAGCCCATATACCTTATTCTAGCTTACGGACAGCCCATTATATTTCATTCTACTTGAGTCACATTCTGACCTTGTTATTTATTCGCTTATCAATTTGGACTGTTTTTATATGAGCGCGTAGGTGTGTGTACATTTCTTATCCTATTACTCATCACATCTCTGTAACTTACTTTTGTGTAACTATAAATATTGATTAACGCTTGGTTAAAAGGGGAGTTTGCTTACCTGCCATTCGCTTCATATACAAAATATATGTATTGAGAAGTCCATTCTCGTTGTTTGACTTACTTTAATTCCGTTATTGATTAACGCGATTTAAGTCGATGATGATATACAAGGATAGGCGACATATATAATTCAACAACAATCATCATTACGATCTCCTTCGAGCCAGATCCACGGGCCACTAAACAATCCTAGAAACATACTAAAAAAAGAATATCATAGGCTATGGGCCTTCTGCCCCTACTACACGAATCTGAAAATCTAATGGTTTCATTTCAATCTGCGTAGGCGAAGAGATTGAATGGCTAGTGTAAACCCTGGAGATAAAAATCTCTCGGTTGGTCAAACCTTCTTTTGAGTATACTGACTAATCCAGCTCTAACCAGTTGTACAGATGGTGAGTTCCACAGGTCGATGACTTATTAGGAAGATCGTCTGTCAACGGACAAGTATCTTATTCTAGGTTTCTGAATCTTGTTGAAATGTTCCCGTAACGTCGCCATTCTGGGACACAAAAATAGGGAAACTTATAGTGGTGGACAGGATTATCCTTTTTTATAAATATTTCAGCGTTACCAATTACTAATTAAGTTTGAAAACTGTTTTCTGAAGGGGATATATCTGAAAGGAATACACACTAACTTCATTTCATTCACATTGAAAATGAATCTACCTAAGTATGCGTATGGACTATAATCAACTTACACACCAATAGCGGGATGTGAGATATTTGCATCGTGTTTGTGAGCCATTATGTGTCCCGTCTTGCTCGGTGTTCTATTTTATTTGGCCCGAGGTTTTGTTGCAGTTGTCAGTATTTAGATTGACCAAATTATGTCTATTTCTACCCAGTTTATATTGTTAAATCCACGTAACTGCCTGAATATTAGTCTGGGCTATTTTTTTGTCAAGCTTATGGATAATTTATTTGCAATTCACGCGTACTGGTAAGTACTCCACGCAATATATACAACACATTTTCCTCCGTTATTTGATCTTGTGAGTTGATTCGCTAGCATAATATGTTTTCCGTAAAGTAGTCTCAAACATCCAATATTTCGACTCCTAATGTTATGTCACCTACAACTACAACAGCACAAAGCTCGCAGCTGTTTGATGATTAAAATAATATAGAATAATTCTATGCTGAAACTATTAAAAAATATAATTTGATAGCTGTAGATTTTTGTTCCGTAAATATGTACTTACGCAACAACGGAAGATTACGATCCTCATTCTAGTCCTAACTCCCAATGATAATAAGTTTATTTATTCGAATAAAGTGTGATTTGAGTCGGTGGTCTGTAGGTTTTCACCTGACAGCAACAAGGGAATGCTAGTGTGAGTACTGTTATCTCACCCATCACAAAAATAATGGAGGATCCTCGAATAACTTAAAGATAATTGCGTTTAACATATGATTTCGTACTTGGTATAATTTGTGTATACAGGCTAATGAGCGCTTAAAAGAAATTGTGCGCTATACTGACTGTTTGTGCTGAGTGGTGAAAATATAATAATAATAATAATAATAATAATAATAATAATAATAAAAGCTTGATTGCCGACAGCTATTCCAACAAGCGACTAATAAGAGGTTAGTTTACGTTAGTTCATGTCTAAAGGAGCTAGATTATATCAGCTGTGTGGCAAAAAGTTATGATCGGATATTCAGATTGATGAATTCAGCATATGATATTGATAAGGGCCTCAAAACATAAAATTTAGTATAATTGTTTATTAGTTGTAGATACATTGGTTTTTACACAATATTATTTATTTTACTCTGTAAAAAATCACTTATCAATGTTTCTATAACAAATAGATTTCTTGGAATCCCTTTATTTCTATCAGGTTAGATTTCTCAGTGTCTTTCTTCCAATTAGCTTGAAATTAACAGAAATATGTTGTACAATTAAACCGCCAGATAATAAACAGATAAATAGTTAAGAAACATGACCTAGGGTTTTATTGAATGAAAAGTATGTTTCTATCTGATAAAAATGCCCTCTATCCGCAAAACAAAGATGAACTTAATCAACTCAAATACGATCAGTCAGGAACAGCGAATTAATATATCTGACACCAAAATAAGAGGTCTAGAAAAAGAAAATATCTGCTATGAAGAAAATATCAAAGTCGAAGTAACACAGATAACATGATAACATTGCTTTATGTCAAAAATGTAAAGATGATATATAAAAATGGATACATGAAAAGGATAACTTTATATTCAATGAGAAAAGTGGGACTTTCTCACATGAAAAATACATGAAAAAGATCATACAGTTTTTACACTTGTAAACAGACCGATTTTTCTGTCGTTATTTAACCGTCTAGGTTCAGATACAAACAGTAAGACTGATATGAAAATTGACTCTGACTGTGTGTTGATTCACATTGTATAAATTAGTCTCCATAGAGTTAGTGCCATCAGTAAGTATGTCATGAATTACGATCTTGACAATTTGAAGAACGAATCTACATTTGTTCAAAGAATGAAACTATTTTTGTTTCGATGAATGAAATATACATAGATACGATATACCATAGTGGTAGGTGTTCAAGAGACAGAACTGTTGACGCAAGCCCCCAAATGATTTCAAATCGAATACTGGATCATTAACATAAATACTAAGTTTTTTCACTTAAAATATATGGTATATTTGAGACATTAAAGAGGAAGAATGTATTTGTAAAATCTTAGTGAACGAATTTCAAATAAATCCAACTCTTCGCCTGACAATCTGATCCAAGTCTTTTCAAGGAAATATATCCTTGAAAAACCTGGGATTTTACGAATACATTCTTCCTCTTTAATGTCTCACATCAACTCGGTACCCAAATACTGTGAAACTATTCGATCAAATTTAAACAAAACTTCTTATATGGTATATTTTTGTACAAAATATTAACACAGACATAAACATGATAAACTTCATAGAGGGATGTAGAAAACCAATTTGCAGACCACTCATACTCTAATCAATTAAGACATAATTATTTTCAGAAGGAGTTTTTGTGGATATTATAGGAATTTAAACAGTTGAAATCATGAGTCAATTGAAGCTAGACAACCATGGAAAACCTTGAAGCATCTGACGGCCGTTTCGTCCTAGTACGTTTATAGTATATTATTTGTCTCGAATTTTGAGCTTCCTATCAAAGTAATGTCAATTTACAATGCTAAGATAATTTAACATCATCAAGAAGTTTTAAATTGAATCATCAATTACTATATTCAAAGATTGTTCCACTAAGCTGTTCAGATTTTATTGAACTTTGATGAAACAACTAAAACACATTCCTTTAATAATAAACTTTAATTGATACTGAACACTGTCAAAGGCAAGATAGGAAACGACAAATTTGTTCATTAATAATTAAATCAGATGGGGCTTTGTGGATATTATAGTAATTTTAATGGTTGAGATCATGAGTCACTCACTAGTGACTGGCTATAAGAGGTATTTCTTGGAGTTCTAGTTGGAAGCAGTGACCAGTGGAGTTCAACCGAGTCAGTTGTGAGATAGTAACTCACTGAAAGCAATGGTAGATATGTCGGTCAATTTCGTGGATTAGTTAAGGTTAGACATTAATATTGTTGGATCTCGGCCGGATCAGTGGTCTAGAGGTTAACCGTTCGCGCGCGAAACCGATAGGTCCTGGGTTTGAATCACACGAGTCAGGATCGTGAATGCGCACTGCTGAGAAATCCTACAATAGAACGAAACGGTCGTCCAATGCTTCCAGGATTTTGTAGTGTCGGTTATTATGTCAAGCCCATATACCTTATTCTAGCTTACGGACAACCCATTATATTTCATTCTACTTGAGTCACATTCTGACCTTGTTATTTATTCGCTTATCAATTTGGACTGTTTTTATATGAGCGCGTAGGTGTGTGTACATTTCTTATCCTATTACTCATCACATCTCTGTAACTTGCTTTTGT